AGACAGACAGACAGACAGACAGACAGACAGACTGACAGACAGACAGACTGACAGACAGACTGACAGACAGACAGATAGACAGACAGAGAAAGGGTGAAAAGAGTGACGGAGAAAGGGGAAAGAAATACAAAGAGAGAAAGCAGAGCAATATTAAAATCCTTACCGTTACAGTTTGGGAACGGTCCTCCGACAAACGGGACGAGGAAACTGAAGCGTTCTTCAGCAAATTCCCGAGACAGACCCAGACCGCCACAGCGGACGAACATCCACCTGGACACACAAGCAAAACACATTATTGTACACATCAGACACACACGTAAAACACGTTATTGTACACATCAGACACACATGTAAAACACATTATTGTACACATTAGACACACATGTAAAACACATTATTGTACACACCGGACACACATGAAAAACACATTGCTGTACAGAGGACACACCAAACTGTCACAACGTACAAACTTCCACCTAGGTATAAGCAAAACAACAACAGTTATAGTTATACTAGCTGGGTACCCGTTCGATGAACGGACTCAAAAGAATCGATCGTCAAGTCATTGTGGGACCAGTGCACACTGCATGTGAACGGAAGCCTCACTTGTTTACAATATGGTGTCTTAGAAGATGGACTTTCCCAGAATTAGATCTAAACGAAACTAACGAAAAGCTGAAAATCAAACAACTGTGACTTCAGACTCCTTAATATAACTGTCTACCCTTTATATGATTCTGAACCACCCTTTATTTTTTCAAATTCGAAAGTTAAGAGGTTCAGAAGTTTTAGGCGACCAAAGTGACGAACTTTCATAAATGTAATATATAGATTACTATTCTTCTGAAAACTGGGGCAAGTATAGGTGAACCTTGGCATGTTGCCGAATAAAATAAAACAGTAAGCTGGAATTCTTTTTATTTTTTAAGGGGGGAAAAGAGAAATGAAAGGGAGGGGGGGGTAGGTGATTGAACATATTTTAGGTCAGAAAGATTAACATTTACCATCTCAAGATATCTTTTAACGTTGTCTGCATCTACAATTCGTACTTAAGGGAATGTGTGACTGAAACTGGGTAATTTTCTTTTAACTCACCGTATTATGTAAGGCATTTGCTGTTATAACTGTCGTCTGTGTAATTGAGTGTAATGGTGAGGGATTTAAATGGTTAGAACTAATATTCCAGGCAGCTAAGATGACTGTTATGTGAAGGGTGCTTTTTTCACCATATTTTTTTACGGATTACGTAAGTTGTCTCATTTCGTAAGGTTTCATTACTAAAATACCAGGATTCCCCCATTTTTCGACTAATAAGGTTCACATTTTGTCATAATGTCTTTGCAAAAATTTTCAAGTATTTTGCAAACATCGCTTTGATTTTTTTTTTGAGGAGGGGG